GTCCAAACAGAGCGATTTGGAAAACTGTTAAAAGCATCTAGAAAAGCATATTTGTGCAAAAGATACTTGATAATTATCAAACTGGCAAAAGAGAGGTATGAGATTGAAAAGACAGGTCATTCTCCACTTTGCCACCTTACCCTAAGCCAGTGTTTGGGGCACCTGCCAATCATTTTCAGGAAAGTATTTTGAGTCTGAATTTTTCACATGCCTGAGAAATAATTTTATCATTGTAAAGGATTATTTTAAATTTGAAGAAAATATACCTCACTGATTTATTGATTTTCATTATATAGACATGATTCATTGGTGTTCACTATATAAACAGTAAAAACATGTATTACGAAGGCATAAATAATTATACTGAAGTGCTACTAATGTGTTTATGTGTTGAGGTGTGTCCTTTCCTCCTTCCTGTTTTCTAAATTTTAGAATATCTTCTATGATTTAAATACTAAATATTAGGAGGAGAGGGAAATACTTGCACTGAGCCATGTCATCCACGTGGGAAAATCTCAGATCTGTACCAATCCAATAGTTTCTTTTCTCTTGTCTAATGGAACTACTGAGCAAGCTAGAGGAAATCCTGTACCTCTGAAGGTTAGTGTATGGTCACAAAACGCAACCATCAAGTTCACCTGTGCTTCAGTGCTTGGCACTTCTGTCTCTTTCCTGAGTTCTCACACTTCCACTGCCCTACGGGCATTTCAGTCCCCCGCTTTTTCCAAACTACCTGTGTCACACCCCCTCCTTGTTTTCAACAGTGTACCTCACCTCATTTTTAACTGAAAGAAAAAATAATAGACATTATTCTGCAAGAGCAGGATCACCTTTCTCCCCACACTCCCATCAAATCATCTAGCCTTGACTGTCGTCTCTCAGAGGTGCTGACTCACTCCTGTGCCCTGGATGCTAACTCCTCCTACTTCCGGAAGGGCTTTCCCTCCATCCAAAGTTCCCTCTTTTGCTTCTGTACCCTAAAGTTTTCTTTTTGTACAATCTCTTTCCTATGAGTCTTTAAACAGACTCTCTTTAAAACATGTCCCCAACTCAACATGCCCCACGCCCCCAAGTCATCTCCCTTTTCTCTTGCCACAGGCATGGTTTCTATAGAGTTGTTTGCCTCATAGCTATTCCTTAATTTGCAGCATTCTGGCCCATTAACCCTATAAAATTATCCTTCCTCAGGGCTACCAGTAATTTCCTTGTTGGAAATAATTTGGAAACTTATCAAATTACATTCAACCTCTTTGCAGCATTTAAAGCACTGACTTTCCCCTTCATCTTGAAAGATTCTGTTTCCTTGGCCTCCATGATATGCAGCTTCCCTGTTTTCTTTCCACACCTCTGGCTTCTCCCATTTACCATGCATTTTCGTTTTCTCTGCTCTTCCCTTAAATACAGATGATCCACAGTTTTTAGTTCTCTTCTTTTTATATATTTTCTATTTTTCCCAGGAAATCTCACTTACTACTATGGATTTGATTAATATCTTTATTCAGTTTTTTTTATTGCTCCCTATATATCCACTATGCCACCTTACCCTAAAAATATTTCTGTACACACCAGAACCACAGGATAGACTAGCGGATCCTGCAACTCAGCGAGCATCCAACTGAGTGGGTGAATCGCCATGGGTGGGTGGGGGACAGATGTGCTAGCCCTCCCATGAGAAGGGACAGAGGAAAGGAGAATTTTCACTGGTACCCTAAGAAAGCAATCTCACTTCTGGTCTCTAGCCTATTCTAGACAAGGGAGACTGCAGAGGCTATCCTCTCTGCTGGAAAGCCCCTTTTTGGCAAATCCCACCATGAAGATATTTAGTGTCGTTCATTTCCAGACATGAGCAGTCCCTACAGTAAATACTCACTGGAGCAAGAAAGGGTCTGAATAGCTATAATGCCTTTGTGTTATTCATGAATTTATTTAACAAATATTGAATATCCTCAAAGATGTTTATAAGCAAGTGGAAGGACACACATTAAACCAATAATTACACTGATCATTATTTAATTATAGTCTATTAAATGTTCTGAAGGAAAAATACACTATGTTGAAAGTACATATCAAAGGACTTTGCCTAATCTAGGGCATCAGGAAAGGCTTCCCTGAGAAAATGTCAGTTAATTGAGAAGTGGAGAAGAGTAGGAGTTAGTTAAGCAAACGGATGGGGAAAGGGGCTTCCACGCAAAGTGATCATAAAACTTGCCCTAAGCTTGATAAGCCATAAGAATTGAAAGTAGGTCAGTGTGGCTAGAGTTTATTGACCACAGAGAAGAAAGATGCAAGGAAAAGCTTTATAGGTATGCTGGGACCAGGTTGGAGGAGCCTGCTGAAGATGTTGGATCTTATCCTATGAGCGATGGAAAGCCATTGAAAGATTTAAATCAAGAGTGGCCTTATTTGCATTTTGTCAAATGCAGACTTCAGATTTTTTGTTACCAACTAAAACATTTCTATTTTAAGTTCTAAAAATGCATACCAAGGCCGGCCGAGTGGCGCATTGGTTAAGAGCTGGCTTGGTATGCCAGCTCTGAGCAGCAGTGCCCCAGTTCGGATCCCACATGAGGGCCAGTGACACTACCCCCAGCAGTTTAGATGGTGAACCACAGCTCGACCTGGAGCTGGGCTGCCATGAGTCGCCGGCAATGGCGTAGGCTGCAACCTCTGCTGCAGTGGGGCTGCCATAAGCTACTGTGTATGGCCAGCAGCCCGTGGGAGCTGCCAAGAGCCGCCGTGAGCGGCCATCCAGAGGCCAGCAAGCAATCTGCCTCACCTGAGAAGAGCGCAATGATCACAATACCAACATGGGCTAGTGAAGCAATGTCCTCCACAACTAGATTGAAGAGCAAAAGGAAAGCAACTTGTCTGTTCCCCTTTCCTGATTTCCCAACACAGTTTCCTTCCCCCAATTCCCCAATAAAATCTTAAAAAAAAATGCATACCACATTTCAGTAATACATTTACTACTGTGTTGTTTCTTCTTTCTGTCTATCTGAATCCTACTCAGTTGAACGCACAGATCACCACTGCTTCTTCCAGGAAGCCTTCTTTGAGCATTTTAGAGCTGGGTGATCAACAGCTTTGTGAATTCTTAGCGTTACTGCAGCATGTAGTCTCCTGCCAAAACATTAGCTCCAGGAGGCAGGGATTCCTGTCTGCTGTGTTCAGGATGTATCCCAATCTCATAAAACAGGACTTGGCCATAGCTAGTGCTCAGTAAATACTTGTGGAATGAAAGAATGTACTACCCTAAGTGAGGTTTTAGGATTCAGGACGTGTAATACCCCTTTTTGAAATGAATCATAATTTATTATTAAGCATACTTTTGCTGAAAAAAACCCCACAAATTTCTGGCACACTTAAATGTATATACATTTGTTTAAGATATATCTGTTTATATCTTCATAAATGTTCTGCTTTCATATAATTTATATACACTATAATAAATTATACATATATGTTAAATATGTATATATATACATATATATATATATATATATATATATATATATATACACACACACACATATGCAAAGCAAAACATTTTGAAAATACAAACTCACAGAATTGAAGAAAATGCCGAATAATTAGATTCTAAGAAATGTAGGAACCAGGGCACCTCTGGGGTTCTCAGCCACAGAGACTCTTAGATGGTCATTTTAGGGTCTTACCGTCTGTGTTTGCATGACTTCACTGCAGATTTAAATTTTTAAGAGATGGCGATTAGCACAGTTTGGAATACATGCATTGCTTGACCTCCATGCCTTTGAGTTTGGGGTGAGGGAGGGACCATTTCCAAAAGGAAGAACAAGATGCCACTGAAAGATACCAGGAAAGCTGACAAGGGAACATCTGCAAAATGTTCACTTTACCACGACATAGAGTCTCTTCTTTTAGTTAAGTGCTATACCAGACAATAAGGTATAGGCACAAACAGGCTTCAATTCAAGAAAACTTAGAATAGTAGGGAACTATAATCTGTATTTAGGTAACAAAATAAGTATTTATAATTAATAATTGATTTATAACTTTATATTATTCATATTAAAATGTAGAACAATGTGATGGATTCTAAAAAATGGCCACAAATTCTTTCTCTCTGTAAACGCATGTCATTGCAACTTTACAGTCCTCCCATCAAAAGGTGGAATCTATTTTTCCACCTTTGATTTGAGCATTAGCAAAAGAGACAAGCAACAGGAGCTTACCAAGCACTGGCACGTTGGAGCTTGCCTATGAGAACAAGCACACATGGCTAGTTAGGCGAAGAATGATAGGTCACATAGGGAAGAGACAAGCCATGCCGGCTGAGGCCTTCCAGGCCAACCCCCAGCCAACCTGGGGGTTGCAGACACACTTGAGTAAGACCTGCAGACCAGTGAGGCCCAGACAAAATGAGCCCGAACCAATGTTTGCTGCTTTATCACACTAAGTTGTGTGGTTTGCCATGAAACAAAATCCAACTATTATAATCAGTAAATTAAAATTTTAAGCCTAAGAATGACTTAAATGAACAAAAGCAAGTAGAGCAAATCCAACCATAACCATGTGTGTTGTCTTTCTTCCTTGTTTGATCTGGATAAGTGTGCTTTAACTCAACGTGGTGTGGTAGTAAGCAAATTCTAAACCAACCTATTAATCTTCTTTTGTTATTCACTCTCTTAATAAGAACCATACATCTTAGATTTCAGGTCATTGGACTTTTTTGTTTTCATAGTAACTTGCATCTGTTTGTGTCTAGGTTTTATTATTGGCTGTGCTTGTTTTAATTTACAAAATTAAAATAAGAGGAGCTGCTCTTTCTCACTGATTTTTTGTTTTTATTTATTTTTTTAACTTTATTGGGGAACAGTGTGTTTTCCCAGGACCCATCAGCTCCAAGTCAAGTCGTTGTTTACAGTCTAGTTGTGGAGGGGGCAGCTCACTGGTCCATGTGGGAATCGAACCGGCAACCTTGGTGTTAAGAGCCTGTGCTCTAACCACCTGAGCTAACCAGCCACCCCCCTCACTGATCTTTTAAATACAACCCTTTACAGAGCTTTCTCCCACAATTCTTTTTCAGGTGCCATCCACCATCTGAAAAAAACAGAAAGGAAATTTTCTCTTTCAGGCTCTCCTTTGCCTTCCAGCTTTCACAGTGATTGTCTCTGATGATATTTTCAGTTGTTCACAATGAAATTCACCAATGAGCACTCCCAGCACCACTCACACTTTATTATAGCCCATGGAAAATTCTTTCCTCTTCTCAAGTCACAGCTTTCTACTGGTTAGGAATGAAAGTTAGCAAGGCCCATAACAAAGTTAACACCGAAGACAGAAATTGATGAAGACAGAAATCCAGCAGGTCTAAGTTCAAATATCAGCTTTGTCACTTAAAAACATTGGGCACATTATTTAACATTTTCATTCCTCATTTTTCTCACTTGCCAAATGGGAATAAGTTATAACTTAGAGGACTGTTAAAAATAAAAAAGTATTTTTAAAAGTATTTTGATAGTGCACAATGTAATAAAATCCTTAGTGGAAGTGTTTTATTATAATTTTCATTTGTATAGTATTTGTCTAACTGTATTGATTTGTAAGTTATTAATTGGCCATCCAGATAAAATGAACACAAACCTATAATGTTAACATTAATATAATAAGTATAAGTAACATTTAAAAATATTTAAAGCACTTCTATTAGTTTATCTCAGTTAAACTTCAAAATAGTCCTATGAAGTGGTTATTATCATCCCTCATTTAATACACTATGAGAGTGAAATTTGTGAGTTTAAGTGTTCTGTGTAAGTTTTGGAGTGGTCAAAACTCAAATACAGGCCCATTTGGTTCCCAATCCTGTATTCTGACTGTGGCATGCTGGGACATTGCTATCCAGAAAAAGTGTCTCACATGTTGGAGTAACCTGGAAGGGAACTGTGAGAACAATTGGTCAATCCTCTTTCACTTATCACCCAATGGGTGAGCCAGAGGCCCTGGGACTAAAAAATTACCCCCACCCCCACCCCCGAGTTGTTGATGCCATATCAAAAGCTTGGAAAAAGCTTTCAAAAGTTATACAAATTTCTCATACCATACCACACCACACCATACCATATTTGTTTCTTTAGAAATATTGGCTAAAATACTATAAAGGAAAAAACATAATTTTTGTCTTTGTTTTCACTCAAATAAGTCCAGAAATACAAAAACGCTTCTAGAAGGAAAATGGTACAGAAAAACCCAACAACACTCATTTCAAAATTTCTCCTTTGTCAAAAGTTTTGATTCAGATATGCATCTCAGACTATATAATTTGCATTACTTAAAGTACATAGTATGAGCTCTATAACCTGCATAATGCAATAAACGAGTAAAATCAATCAGACTGCAATTTTGTTTCATTGTGTTATAGCTTGTCTTAGAATCAGGGCCTACTAACCTATTCCCAAACATACCCCATCTTTGTATTCTAATGTAACTTAACCAAGATAGTTTTGATAAATGAATATGCATCATTTTGAAAAGCAGAAAGTCATTATTGACTCATGATAAAAGATCATATTTAGAAAAATAACATATGCTGTTTCAAATCACTTAAAAACCAGTTATGAAAGCAAACTTTTACTGCTGACAGTTGTGGCAGAATGCAAAGAGCTGTGTCACCGGAATTGATAGGTGTACTGAGCTAATGAGCAGCAGATGGCAGGCAGACAAATATAGATTTTACAGTTGCTCCCATCATTTCAGCAATACTTAACTGTGTTATTAACACCTCAGTCCTTGTTAACATGCCTTAGAGGCCGAGGAAAATATTCTGATCCAGCATAGTATTCTCTGATTTACAAGTTCTATTAGAGATTCCTTAGAGTTGATTTTTTTTTAATCCATAGAAGTGTGATTAATTTTTTTAATGTGCTGCACATCTGTTAAAGAGAGAGCATTTTAATACCTTTCCTCATTAGCAAAGCAAGCAAGAATGAGGAATATATCCAGAATGTCAGAGTAAGTCTTTGGCTTATGTTTTAAATGTTAAAAAGTTTAATCTTTTAAATGGCTCCATAAAGCTGATAAAATGAGACAGCTTATTCCAGGGTTGGGACAAGGAAAGTACAAAATGAGCCTGGAACCCATTGTTGTGCCAGAAATTAAGAAACTGCGCGCGCGCGCGCACACACACACACACACACACACACACACACACACACACACACACACACAATGGGGGAATAAATTAACACAGAACCCAGCCAGAAGTGTCCCCACCTTAGCAATCTGAGACATTTTGATTCTTCAAGTAGATAAGAACAATGATGTCATCAAAGAAAATAGGATCCATGGGTCCACAATGGAGACTGATAAATAGAGGAGAGGAAAGGGCTCATCCTTGGAGTAGAATGACAACTGTTAAGTGTGGAGGCCACGCTGTATTGCAAAATTATCATTTTGCCTCTATTATAGTAAATATTGGTTGGGGAAGAATAATCAATGGATGGATATGCAGGCAGGGAGTAGGAGAGGAGTTTGATGAAGAGCAGAATGTTTACATGGCCTCAGAGTGTCTCCCAAAGATTGTTTAATGGTTTCAAGAGGGAAATTAATGAATATGTAGTGAAGAAACAAGACACACATTGACCAGGGATCAAAATTAACATCACCAAAGGAGAGATCAGTGGATATCATAGCTTTTGGATATGACACTCTAAAAAATACATCATTTTTGTAGTATTCCTGCCAAGAAGGCATTACCTGACTCTAACTATGAGGAAACATCAGACAAATAGAAATTCAGGAATGTTCTATGAAATCATTTGTCTGTATTCTTCAAACTATCAAGGTCACTGCCTGGCAAACTATTGGGTTGCCGAAAAAGTCATGACATATTTTTTCTATGTTTTTTGTTGCAAAAATGTATCATGACTTTTCCAACAACCCTATATTTACAGATGATAGAATACATTGCAACTTCCTGCAATGTATAAATCTAGATTGATCTTGTACTGAAGGAAAAAGTACTATTTAAGCATTATGAGAAAATTGTCAAAATTGTACTAAAGATTGTAGATTTGATAAAACTATTGTATCAATGCTAAATTTACTGAATTTGATAACTGTACTGTGGTAATGTAAGATATTTAAAAATATTCTTACAACTTGTCTATATATTTCAAACCATTTTAAAATTTAAAAACTTAGACAAAAGAAAACATAAGAAATATATTATTCTAATACAATGATTCATATGACTTTATAACATATTATGTAGATATATCCATAGAACAACAGACACTGGAACCAATTAGCAGAAAACTGAGTTATTTACTGTGGTAAATCAGTTAACTTTTTCTTTTATATAATGGCTTTATTTTCCACTATCACGATCTCATTTATTTTTAATATATGTATTCCAACTTTGTTCAGGTTCTGCATCCATTCTAATTTGAATTATCTTAACAATTAGTATTACAAGTTATGTGTGTAACTGTTTTAATTAATTTAAATAATTAATAATACTGGAATGTTGGACCACTTTTTTTTAAAGATTTTTATTGGGGAATTGGGGGATGGGAACAGCGCTAGGGAATTGGAGGAAGGGGAACAGACAAGTTGCTGTCCTTTTTTGTTCTTCAGTCTAGTTGTAGAGGACGTTGCTTCACTGGCCCACGTTGGCACCATCATTGTGCTCTTCCTGGGTGAGGCAGATCAGTCACCAGCTTCTGGACCACCACTCACTGCGGCTGCTGGCTGCTCACGCTGGCTGCTGGGCACTCACGGTAGCCCATGGCAACCCACTGCAGCAGGGGCTGCAGTCTACTCAGTTGCTGGCAACTCACGGCAGCCCAGCTCCAGGTTGAGCTGCTGTTCAGCATCTTAGCTGTAGAGGGCAGTGTCACTGGCCCTCATATGTGGGATCCGAACCAGAGTCCTCTGGCGTCCCAAGCCAGCTCTCAACCAACACGCCACTCTGCCAGCCCTGGACCACATTTTTAATTAAGTCTCCTGGGTTAACGAACTAAGTGTAAAAGTTTAAGCTTTTAAGTATTATTATCAATAGCAGGAAATAAAGCTTTTTTTTTTTAAGTTAGTATCTGCCACTGCATTTATCTATTTTATCTTCTGATTATTGAGGACAAAGCAAGACCATCTATATTGGTGAAAACTGTTTTTATAACTACTGAAAAGGCAAAACAATAATTGTTTTACAAATGACCTCAGAGTTTTATACATTCTCGTATCCCAAACTGAAACTCTATGCTGTATTCCTGGACTTGCTTAAAGATGTGTCAACTATATGCCCTATTTAGTGCATATTTCCTAAGTTAGAAAGCTTGGAGTTTCTTTTTTTCTGATGTCCATCGAGTCAAACAACTTCTGGTGATGTCACATCAAATGTATCTCTTTATTCTGCCCACATGAAACATCTCAACATTTCCCAAACATCACCAGTCCTTTTTATAACTTTGTGCCTTTGTACATACTATTACTTGCAAAGAAGGACCTTTCTTCCTTCTGTCTGGCCAGCCTCTCTCACCTCAGATGACCCCACGCATAATAGAAAATACCTTCTCCTGGGCTCCAACAGCCATTCTATCATTTTTGTTGTATTCTTGGCCCTATAAAGAGTATGTTCTCATTTTGTTGTATTGTAATTTGTCTGTTTACATGCCTGTCTGACAGAGGAGACTGTGAAATCTTTCAGAATGAGGAACATATGTTATACATTTCTATATCTCATCCAGGATGTGGAATGTGCATCACATCAGGCAAGTATTCGATAAATGTGGAATGAATGAATGTAAGAATGAAGAAAAAGCAAACAAGTGCATGAATAACAATAGAATGAGATTAAAGAGCTAAAGAGAAGGAAGGAGGTAAGAGTTTTTAGGAAATAAGAGCTAGGAAAGCTTACCTAATTGAAATTCATAAAATATCAGTGTACATATGTGTACTGCCATTTTTTTTTTAATGGAAGTTCTTTGGGGTCCAGAAGAAGAGTTCTTAGATCAAACTTAGGAACAACTCAAATCAATGGCTGAAAGAAGGCCTGAGAGTCTTGGTTAACCTGGTGACACCAGCCAGCCAGGTCCTACAGGGAA